GGGTATAGTTTCTTAAAGAGAAAAGAAGCTATACTTACCTCTTGGACACCGCATATATCTATGAAAGGATTCCCTGTGCTGTGTCGTCGTTATAGAGTAAATTAAGAAGGCCTTACTCTGTAACAATATAAACTTGATCAATCATCTGCTGTAATATCATACCTTGAAGTTGAGCATCGGAAATGTCTTTCTGTAAGAAATTTCATTGAGATATCGTGCAGTCTTATAGCTAGTACAGGTGCTTCTCTCCAACTTATAAAAATGGATGAAAGCCAAGGAGTTATAGGGAATCACAAAAAAGTTCGCAATGAGATTAGAGCTGAATCATTAGTTATTAAGAATACAGATTTTAATACAGTCGCTAATTTCCGAAATCTTAGTTCCAAAGAAGCTGAAATTCTTAAGCTTGATCAAGAATGTTCTGTCGCAGATACTATGGCACTTAAATGTTACTATTTGTAGAATCTTTATGGTAAAGACATGGATATAGAATATTGGAATAATCTATGCAATAAAAAATTTGTAGAAAGTTTCTGCCCACCTGAACCTCGAAAACACTTCTTGCGATTGTCTCACTTTCGAAGGCAAAGCTATGATGAGGAGAGTGCAATAAAAGGGTTAGAGGCCAAAAATATTGCACAATGGAAAGATACCTATTATAAAGCTGGTAAAAATGTTGAGAAATCAGTAGCAGAGGACTTGTGTAAAACTTATTCAGCAAATCATTGGAAGATTATAAGAGAACTCTTTCAAGTATTAGGCTTTACTAGCATTGATGATAAACGTATCCTTTCTAATATTATTGTATCAGAAGCATTCGTGCAATCCCGTAAAAAGTTTATAGAAATCCGTAATCAATCCTTATTACTCTTTGGTTTTAAGTCTCGTGCAAAAGAAACACCAGATCTTTATTCAGCTATAAAAACAATTAATGCAATTGCTGGCAATTGGTGTAGATATACTATTAAAAGTGATAAAAAAAGAACAGGGCCTAAAGGACAACAAGTTTGGCAATACTCATACCAAATTAATCACCAGCCATATAATAGTACTGGTTTTGGGGATAAAGGTGCTCCAGAACTTCTATCATATAGGCCAGATAAAGTAATTCTCTTTGATTCTATAGAGTAAGAAAATAACACTTCAGCTAGATTATTCAGCTAAGTATTTTAACTACATCAGATTCTGTTTTATTTTTACACCAAGCACGGTCATAAATTCTGCTATGCATGCTACAGATTCCGGTATCAGAATAGGTTAGCTCATTACAGATAGGGCATATTGTTTTAGAACGCCTTTTATAGTGTATGGCACATCCTAATTCACGCCAGCACCCTTTTCCACAAATCGAACCATCTTTCTTGATATATTGGCAGGATAAACGATCTATATGAGTCGAACTATCTTTCTTGATGTATTGGCAGGATAGACGATCCATATGAGATAATTTTGATATTAATAATCTCAAAACTTCATCTTCACTTTTATTATAGATATTCAAAAATGCGATGTCTCAGCAGTCACATCTCTCAAAATGCTATATAATCGAAGAACCCAGGTGGGATATTTTTTTCGAATTGAACTTTTTTACATATGTATAAGTAGATAGCAATTACAACTACTTATTATATATTATTGGTATGACTACCACTTAGAAGGCTCGAAAATCCAAAACTAATAACTATGTTTTAATCCTAGACAAGTTCTTAGAAAATTGTAATTTGTTGGCTAGCTCTACTCCAGAACAATTGCGTGAACATGCTTCCAAACTTGATGCTTTGATTTCCGATTGGAAGGCTCACAAGTGTGTTAAAGAAGCCCTTGCAAGAACTGGCCAGTCAAGATGTCTATTTAGCAAAGAGCAAATAGAGGCTCTCCTGCTAGACAAAAGAAAGGGGAAACTTACTATAGAGAAAAGGGCAAAATACTGCACTACAGCTAGTGATGTTATAGACATTTTTGTCCATCATCTAGACTTAGGTCTGAAAAATAAAGATGAAAATGAAATAGTTGCTAGTGGCTCACGCCAGTCACAATTCCATGTAAAGTTAGCAGAAGCTGGAGTAAATCCTAAAATTATTAATACTTGGGCCAAAGATCGGGAACTTATTCAATATTTCAATAAAATTCAGAGAAAACGAACTAAGAAGCGAATGGCTAATCCAGATAGAATTCCCATTCATTTCTCCTTAGCAAGGGTATCTAAAAGGCTTCAGGATATGGATGTATCTAAAATTTCTACTAGAGGGGATCTCGCAGATATGATAGTGATATTGAGTATAAAACCTGCGGAAGTAAGATCTCTTCAGATCAATTACTATGAACCAGACCCTTCAAATATTCCAGCATAGTATAAAGATGGATATTCTTGGTATTGTACGGGTTATCTAAAAAGTAGAGGGGAAAAGAAGAAGAATCCCATACCCAAACCACTTCTTTCTATGGAGAAGAATCCAGAATGTGCAAAGGAATTGCTTACCTGGATTCAAGAGGCAATTAAGGCTAGAAAGTTACATAACCCTGTCTTTACTGAAAGTGATAAACGTAATGATACACCTTTTAATGAATTCTTAAAGCAGGAGCCTTATAAAACTCTACCTGGAAAGTTAAGAGATTACGGAAGTAAGCACGCTTCCAGAATCTATGGAGGTCCAGACTCGATCCCCCAGTATCTTAGCTTGCTTACAAGAATTGCATTGAGACAAGAATTAGATCGTCTTGATGCAGGTGATAATTACGCTATAGGCAATACAGAATCAGAAGAGTCTGACTCTGAACCAGAGACAAGCGACAGTCCAAAACCCCAAACGCAGGCTTCTTCACCATCTCAGACAATAAAAATGAATTCAATGTTAGCTGAAATTGATGCAATATTAGCTGAAATTCAGAAATAAATGCCAAAAGACGGTCCAGAGTGGTGACTTGAACGTTGCTAGTTTAGAGAATTTTCACTAGGCCCTCATGTATATAAGACTCAAGTTGTCTACCGTTTTCCTAATGCTATTCTTGAAATCACAATTGAGAGGTATATTTTTATATTAATATTTTTTTCTTATAAATTGGTGGTATCAATGAGAAATAAAAATCTATGAAGTGTATACTCCTCCTTTTCTTCACTAATCATTCACTAGATCAATCAGTCGTTGGTTCATACTTATTAAATAAAAGCCTTAGTTAATAAAATCCACACATTAAACATGTCTAATATTCAAGATATTTTTGAGGAATGGGAAAAAAATAGTTATACCCGATACATGTTATCTGAATATGGCTTAAACTATATTAGTAATTTAAAAACACCAGAAG